TCGAAAGAAAAACTGATTCTAGTTCCCAATTCCAGATGAGATGAGGAATAATTCATAGAAAATGATTAATCGATGGACTAATTATGAAATCGATCTCATGAATTTGAGATCTGAGATTAAATTGCTACAATATAAGTTGACATTCTTGATCGACAGTAATGAATCATTTAGAAGAATTGAGCGGACATGAATGATTATTTCATTTTTTTTTTCGATGATGTCTCCAGAGAGAAAGAAATGAAAAATGTAGTAGTTGCAGGTAATGCATCAAGTGAGAGCAATAAATATCGGAGACCCGATTTGTCATTCCAAAAATGATCTACTGAGAAAGAACTTACGAATTCTCATGACGAAATCATAAAGATATTTCGATAATTATTAGAAAAACGCGAGTCGATCGATTCGCTTCAATTATACTAAATAATATCTCGATGGCGTTTAATTTTCTTCCTTTTGTTTATGAAACCGAATTACTCAGAAGAATAAATAAATTATCAAATAATAGAGAAGAGCGGAAAAGCATTTTAACTCATTCCCAGTCATTTTTACCGCCAAAAAACGTTGGAGACAGTTTAAGGCCCGGATGGACGGTATGGAAAAGATAATTTACTCCAAAATTGGGACTTCTAATGACTCCGTCAATTAATCGTTTTTTCCGATAATTGTTAGCTAGCGGCCTAGTTGTTGACAACCGCTAAAACGCTAGCTAACAATTATTGAAAAAAACGATTAATTGCCAAAGTGATTAGGAATCCGAATTTCGGAGTAAATTATCTTTTCTAGATAATCCACCCGAGCCTTAAAAGCGTTCCAGTGTTTGTCGCGAATTTAATTTGTTCTCTGAATTATAATGTTATCTTCCTTTTTTCATTTTTCAACATTCTCAAAAGATACGCCATCTAATTAAGAATTTAACATTTTTTTATCAGTCAAGTGCAATAAAATTCTGGCAAAACTGAATTATTGAATAATGGATAATCAATTTTTTCCTCTCGTTTTCTGAATCTCCCATTTATCAATCAACACTACACATTAATCCAATATTAATTATTTATTTTAATAAATTTTATATATATTTGTACAAATATTGTTTTAATAAATATCGTTATAAAAAAATGAATTATTAACTCTTTCGTGGTACGTCAAAATGATTAACTGTCTATAAAAAATAACAGAATGCAGTGCAACAATTCAATCTGAGTTTATAAAAAATTGATGAGATCTCAACAAACAAAGTAATCGATAAATCATTTCCTATGAATTATTCCTGTGATCTGAAATTGGGGGCAATGTCAGTAATGCATCCGTTTTGATTCATCGGTGATTCGTATTGCGTAAAAGAAAAAGTCTGGTAAATTCCCTCGAGTGCGTGAGAAATCCATGTGCAATACCTGTCTCTTTGAATGGGCCTGCAATGAATCATTGGCTTTTTTCTCAAGTACATCATATTTTTATAAATCCTCAGTACCATTCATCAATAATTCCCCAGATATTTCACTACCTTGTTGCATTCTCAATCTTGTATTATGTAATTTTCCGTAATGACAGCAGTGACAAATTATCAAAAGATTTTTTCATCTTAATTTTGCATAATTTATTCATTGATTCATTATCAGAGGTACAAACAATTCTCACGCAATGAAAATGTCAGTTTATGATCATTCGGGTTTTAATTGCGTCTCGCATATTAATCGATTTTTATAATTAGTTTTTAAATATTGTTTATGGATATTTGGATGAAATTAAATTTTTGAGAAAAAAACTAT